TTTTATATTGATACTTCTCTTTTTCACTTTACTTTTTAGTTCTATCTTCTAGGGCATAATATCGCGGTTGTTATTACTGAATTATTTTTTTTAGTTTTGCCCTTCTAAATACAGCTTCTGGTGCCTTCTACTTCTACTTCCAATTGGCGATAAGTATGGCTGTGGTAAAGTTGTTCCACGGGGTGGAATCATGAAGGGTTCATCATGCTTTGATTCATTTGATTATGTACTTCGTATGTTAAGCTCTGTTTATATAGTATTGCAACATCATATCTGGCATACAAAAGCAACACAACTTTATGCATTGTTTATCTGGCATACGTGTAGTAAACTTAGGTAAATTTTCGTAACATAGAATTTTTGTAAATGTCAAACCTGCAAGTACTTATTCTGAGATCTTTTACTGAAATGACTAATTTAGCAAAACTAATTACCCAAATGACTTTTTTTTTTTTTTTTGACACAGCCCAAATGACTTTCTAAATTCCAAACTAGCTAAATTTGAACTAACTACATTAAATTCCTTTATCCTTTTTTTTTTTCTATAATTGATTTGTGATTTTTATTTGTTTTTTTAATCAATTAAAAAGGTTCTAAATTTTGTTATCATCGTATTAATTTGCACAACGATTGTTTGGAGTACAATGCAACTTGAAATTTGGGGTAAACTACAATTAAATATACAAAAGAGGTGTTAAAATTGCACCAGATCCAATTCGATTCAGATTTTAATTTGCGTGAACACAATAATTTAACATGATCTTAGCTTTAAAAATTAACCCAATTCAACTTCATTGAACTCGATTTAAACTTCCGAATTGACAATTCCACGTGCAAACAAAACAAAAAAGTTTTATATAGAGGATTTGATGAAAAAAAAGGAGTTAAAGAGGGTGACTTGGAAAATAGGAATGGTTGATTACATCCACTTTTGGAATAAAAATATTAAAACAATCTTAAAATAGTAAGATAGTCATTTGGGCAAATAATTTTATTAAATTAGAAATTTTTGTAACATACCCCCTTTTACTTTTGAAAAAATTACATTTGATTTTTTTTTTTTTTAAGTATATAGATTGGTATGTGATTCTTTTTACTTTTGACCTCTGTCATACTTTTTTTTTTTTTTTTTTGACAAACATCAAGCTTAGTATTTTATTAAATCAACAAGTTTTCAAGATCATTACAAATCGCCCCATGTAATTCCGGGGGATACTCTTCAAGCCAAACACGAAACTCATTGAAACTACTACTAAGCAAAGCAAGTTCATGGGCTACACCATTTCCTAGCCGTCTGACAAAAGAGAAAGAGCAAGAAAAACACTCCCTGCCCAAGCGTAATATATCCTTAACAACATTCCCAAAGGCATTCGGTGGCGTAATACCTTTTTTCATATGATGAAACAACTTAATGTTGTCGGTTTCCAGCACGAAGTTTCTGAACCCAGCCTCAAGAGCAATAACAAGACATTGCCGCATAGCAATAGCTTCCCCAATATCAACATCAAAGCCACCTTTGATTGACGAACAGAATGCGAGGAGCACATCACCAACAGCATCCCTTAGAACACCCCCCACTCCGAGGCACTGCTGAACCTTGAAGGAGGCATCAGTGTTTAGTTTCAGCACACCCACTTGCGGAGCTTTCCAAACAGAGCCCAAATGTAGAGCAGGAGACGCAAGGTTACATCTCTCCAAAGCTGCTGCATACTCTCCCACTAGCCCAACAGCCTTTATGGATTAAATCACTCTCCAGCTTTCGTTTTTTTCTCAAAAACCCAAGCATTGCGCTTCAGCCACACACCCCACGCCAAACTCCAGAAAATATCCCACCACCTCGGTTCATTAATCTTCCCATAAACCTTTGCACACCATTCACGCAAAGAGTCAGCTTGGTCTCTCATTGTGTCCAACCTCAATACAGAATGTTCCCAAATAGACCTCACAGAAGGGCAAAGCAGCAGCATATGTATGGTAGACTCCTCTAGCTCACCACACATCGGACACAAATGGTCTACCTGCATTCCCCTAGCCACCAGACGCAATCTGACAAGCAGAGCCTCTTTGATAGCCCTCCACGCGAACAACTTGATCTTGGGAGGTAGCTTAGCATTCCATATTTTTTTCCATTTGAACGGAGTAATCTCTACAGAGGATGTTGCCCTGCCCAATTCTTCATCTTCAATTAACAAGTTATAGGCGCTTTTAACTTTGTATTGCCCATCCTTTGAGAAATGCCAGCTCCATTCATCACTATCTTCAAACAAAGGAATAGGTATGCAACAAATATCATCCACTTCTCTCTGAGTAAAAAGTTCAAGCAGCAAGTTCCGATTCCAACATTTGTTTTCCCACAGCTCCTTCACTACAGTTGGAGCGTTATCCCCATCAGCAATTGGCGAAAAAATGCGAAAGTTAGGCAGATTTGGAACCCAAATGTTAATGCTACTTCCCCCTCCAATAATCTTCCTGGCCCCTCTTTCAATTACATTCTTTACACTCAAGATTGACCTCCAAGTGAAGCTCATTCCAAATACTTACCTTTGAGAACCCGAGTCATCAAAGATTTCTCATTGGTAAGTATCCTCCAAGCTTGTTTAGCTAACATAGCTTTGTTAAAAAGCTGCATATTACGAAAACCCAAACCCCCATTATTTTTTGAACGATAAAGCTTGTTCCAAGCCACCCAACAAGTTTTTCGTTCATCACCTTTTTGGCCCCAAAAGAAATTCCTACACATTTTTTCTACCTCATTTAAGATACTCGATGGGATAGAGAAACATTGCATAGCATAAATAGGAATCGCTTGGGCCACCGATTTGATAAGAATTTCCCGACCGGCTTGAGATAAGTAGTTTTCTTTCCACCCCTTGGGCTTCTTCCAAACTCTATCTTATGGGAAAAAGCATATAAATATGGTGTATAGCCCCTTCATCAACGTTTGTCAATTATCTTATTTCAATACAATAAAAAATCTCAGATTTTAAAAGCATCTTATATGGTAGATTGAAAAAGAAAAACAAGTCGAACTAGATTTGACTGGAGAATGAATATAGAATTGTTTGTATCTCTCTTTTTAAAAATTGAAAAATTACCGTCAAAAAAAAAAAAAAAAAATTGATAAATTACGAAAGAAATCTAACATATAATTAATACAAGATTTGTTGTGTATAAATGATATTTGTCTATAACATTCTAAAAAGAGAATACTTGGTTTGGTGAAAAAGGGCATTGCTACAGTAGATTGTTTCTTCAAAATACCATATATATCCTACAAGTTTGTTTGCATATAAAATTTTGGTGGGTGAGAAAAATAGACCCCACGTGGCTTAAGATAGATTCTCATCACCTGCCCCAGTGACTCTATAAACACTAAAAAAAGTAAGTTAATAAAATTTATAAAAGTACATATTGAGATTGATTAATTTAGTTGATGATGTTTTATCTTACATTTTGGAAAGAATTAAAGATTTTAATAAGGTGTAAATATTTGATCGCAAATATCTTCAATATATTAGCAAGGTTTATGAATTTAAGTTATTAATAAAGCACTAAGCGTGATGAATTAAACTAGACCCCATATGACTATATTTGCTTTTATATATACAGAAGATTATTGAAGATAATTTGCCATTCTTAATGGTAAAAAAAATATATGGAAATATCATTGTGAAACGAAGAGAGTATAATATTTTGGTATATATTATTATAAGCTACGTTTAATTTAAATATTGAGATGAATAATCACATTTATGTATAATTTTTTAAAAGGTGGTAAATAAAGATGGTATTATGCATAATTTTTAGATATTTTAAATAAAATAAATTGGACGAAGTGTAATTCTTTCAATTTGGGGATATGATTGATTAAAGGTGATCAAGAAAAATTAGTTGTAAAAAATTAAGACTTTCATTTAGGGGATTTTTTTTAAAGTGGAATGATGATATTTATTTGTTTTGGAAACAACACATCTAAACTTATTAAAACTTAATTTTCCCGCACTTATCATATATAAACTTAGGCCCTGTCTTATTCACCTTGTTTTCACGTGTTTCAGGTCTAATATATTAGATAAGTTAAGTTAAGAAAAAAAAGTTTTAATAGGATACAATTATTCAAGTACAAATTACAACTACTACCTCTATTTCACATTTTTTACAACTTTGAAGGGTGAACAAACTCCTATGAAAAATTTGTTTTTGAGTGTAAATAGAGAGAGAAAAATAGGAATGCAGGTGATGAGGAGAAAGATAGAGAGAAATGACAACTTAAAAAGGAAATAAAACCTTAGTTGCAAATAATGTGCAGCATCCATTTTTGGCAAAAGTTGCAAAAAATATGAAACAGAGATAGTAAAATAAGTTTTAATAAGTTCATAATAATTTAGGTAATATAATAAGTTCACTTAACTTCAAATAAGTAAAATCAGGTAAATAAAACATACCCATAAGTAATTAAACTTGTCTGAATTTATTAGACTTGAAATAAGTAAAAATAAAGTGAATAAACAAACTTTTATAATATTGAGTACAATATATTTAGCTATGTTCAATTACGATAACTCCACCTTAAATCAGTAAGATTTAATAAATATTTTAAACAGTAAAACTCATTGATTTCAAAGAGCATATCCAATAGCAAATTAGTGAAACATAATTTTTTACAGTGAAAATAATTATAGTTTAGTGAAAATAAATTCATGTCCCATAAAAATATTTTAATTTTAGCAACAAACAAAACATTTAAATTCAGCCAAAATAGTTTAGGTTTTCGTACATAGAATGTAAAGAAAACATAACCTATTAATTCTAATAGAGCTTATTTTTCAAAAATTAGTGAAAACTATAATGAACAAAATAGAGCCTTTCTTTGAAAACTTTTACCGTCATTAACAAAACTCTAATTTGTCTTTATAAAATATTACTCCCTCCGTTAATTATTATATGTAACTTTGAAATATTTTATATCTCACCAATAATAACCCAGCGTTGCACATAATAATTAACGGAGGTAGTATTATATTCTAATGTTGTCTAAAATCTTTTTCAAGTGATTAGTCATTTTATTAATTTTAAAGTCATTTGATATTTACATTTAAAGTTGGTTGGCGCGTATCCAACTAGTTTAATTAAAGAGTAAAAGAGTAGTATATAAAGCCTGACCCGTTTCATTAAGGATCTGGTGGTATAAAGACCCGGCCCATTCATAAATAGGACGAATCTCCCCCATTTTAGAATAGGACTCCAACCCTTTGAATTGATTAATCGCTCTCACTGATCGATCGCTCCCCTATCTCTCCTCTATACCCGGTGGCCGGTGTCCGGTGTCCGGTGTATTGCGAAATTAGCCAGTTTTCTGAGGTGCATTGTTTCTTTTATTACAATTTATCAATTGATTTTTAATCACTGAAGTTCATTCTTAATCAATTTCTATACCCAGTTGCTTCGCTCTTTCCCTGAGTTCTCCATTCAAGCGCACGCCACATTCGTCAATCCCCCGTTGAAGCAGTTTCTGAGGTATGTTTATTATTATTATTTTTTTTTTAATTCTTCATTTGCATATTGGAATTACTATGATCTTGAATAAAATTACAAATTGTTGTGTGTAGTAGTTGAAAGTAAGCATAATGTAAGGATTCAATCTAATACTAAAATATATGGTAGCAAAATTACATTGAATGGGTTGAATTTTTGTTGATATTTTCATCATTGAGATGTCTCCCCTTTGTAAGCTGCTAGAAATTGCCATACTCATGCATTCATATTATTGCCATTTTCTTTAATAGAAAATCAATAACATTAACCCACAAATTCTCTGCCAAATTGCTACTTCAAAATTTCAATAACATTAACCCATAAATTCTCTGCAAGATTGCTACCCCAAAAATATGAATTCAACTTTTCCCAAGACTTAATTCAAAAGTACAGTAGCTAACATTAATAAACTATGTATGGCATTAAAAAATCAATGTTAATAGACTTTTGGGAAACCATAAGAATATTGCCATTATCCCTACATTTCAGCTAAAACAATGCAAGAATGAAATTGAAGTGTGACATTGCTTTCCTACTTAACAAAAATATATGACTAAAAAGAATTCCATATTTTAGTGTAATGAATTGAAACAGAAGGCATGGAAAAAAGATGCTCAGTTGAGAACAAATTATGTTTTTGTATTTTCAATATTTTAGCTATGGAGTATGCATCATAAAATGAAATCTAAACTCTTTTCTTTGAGCACATGATATACCTAAGTCATATCTACTAGAATTATGCAAATAAATACTACAGTATAAATCAAAATCCACAATAAAACCAAACAAAAAAATTACAGAATCCTCCTGCTCATATTTAACCCAAATAAAACCTGCACAAACTTGCATCAAATTTCAGCAAATAATTAATACTCCATCATAAATCAGGTAAAAAACAGAGGGATACCATTAGGATCAAGAGAAGAGTGAGTAATGTCCCAAAGCTTTTCACAAGCTTCAATAGTTCGATATTCTTACAGACTGCTTATCCGACCTAGAGAGATGGCATTTGAGGTTGATTTAACATCATATAAAATGATTGAAATCTATGAAGGATGTGTCTTTGTTGACCCAATTTCATGTTTTGTAGTGTGTACAGTTTATTAAGTATAAACCTGAACGCCTCAACCTTTTGTAATGTAGCTTCATATTCTTCGATACTCAAACTTATCTTTTGCTTGGTTAAATTCTCACTCTACTCGCTCCCTCTCACCACCAATGATGACATCATTTTGTGGGCACACTTCCTAATCAGAAACCCAATGGTATTTATACAGAATAAGCGGGAAAAAAACGGGATGAGAAAGTACCAATTTCAAACAATAGTTGAATTAGGAATTGAGTATGGAAGAAGATAGAATTGAGAAAAGTAATTTTGAACTGAACTGGTTTTTTTTGCAGGTACCAATGTCATTTAGAAGAAACCTTCAGAGCAACGCCGTTGCACGCATTTGGGCATTACTGGCCTGCGGTTTTTTCGGCGGAGCTGCTTATTATTTGCACAAGGTTCGTGAGCATCGGATTGCGCAGGGCGGCTCGGTACGTTATTTGTTTGCTGTATTATCTTGTAAATATTTGTTACCCCATATTCCATTCTATTCTGGATAGAGATATGCTGATAGGCTATGAAGTCCTTGTTAATAGACTCCTTAAATGATGAAAATTGTGGTGGTTTGAGTTTTCATCAAGTCGATTGGCATGCAACTGAGCTTAGCATTTGAATGTCACTGTTTTGATACATAGCTGAAAAATGTAGGTGGTATTGGGCATCTTACTGCTACTTTAAGGTATTTAACCCAAAAAAAAATCATAAAAAAAAAGTGGTATGAGACAGTATCTATGGCGGCAAAGAGAGTATAGTGTAATTTTTTTAAAAAGTGGATTAAAAATAAATTAAAGTTAGTTCAATTATCCTTATTTATAAAGAATTCAATCAAGTTTAATGTTTTAATAAAAAAAAAAAAATTAAATAAAGGGTCTGTTCTCATTAGTTGAGCTGGCTGGCTGACTGATTTGGAAGAAAAGGAAATTAGGAGCTGAACTGAACTTATTAAAATTGAAATGAACAGAAAATAATCGTATGAGAACGGGCCCTAAATGAAGTATTCAAGTAATATTCAATGAAAAAGTAAATTTATGAAATACTTTATTCGTTCGTTTTTTATTAGTTGCAACACATGGCTAGAATTTGGTCGGGTTTTGGGCATAGTTTTTTTCGGTTTGACTTAATTTTAAAGTTTTTATGGGCGAGCTTGAAAATGCTATTTGAGTTGTTTTTTTTAGGAATTGGTTGATTTCTTTTGCCTTGTCCTGGTCGGTCCGCTCAATAATCACATCTAAATACACGCCTTTACATATTAGCTAAGAAAAGTGGGTTTCACATGTTTTTAAAATTTAAAATGGAGTTGAGAGAATTTTATAAGTATAAATAATTGGGCCATGATGTTTAAATAAGGATAATAGCACCATTTTAATTAAAATAACACTCCAATTATAGTGTTTTGCAAGTAATACGACATTTTCATTTTAAAGAAGTGTTACAAGTATTATGACATTTTCATATTAAGGAAATGATGCTAGTTTTAAACACAGAGAAAGTAATTGAAAAAATAAGCTTACCAACTATCAAGTGACATACTTTACGAGATTTAATATTTTTTTTTTCACAGGATGCTACACGAGATGTCTTGTTGTACTTCCTGCTTGTCGTGCTTTCAGGAGTGCACCTAGTTGTGCTGTACTTTCCACTCTGGCTTAGGAGGTCTCGGATCGCTCGGATGGTTCCACCCCCATTTTGTATGGGGCTAGGCTGCACAGTTACAGCTCTGGTACCTCTAGCCTGCACTGTTGACGGCAGATTGTCCGACGAGTCGATGACCCGCGATTCACTGTGGGTTACTTTGTTTTTTACGGTGGATTTCTTCTGCCTTCAGATGGTCGTTCTTCCTGCGTTTGAGTACATGTTCGTTCACACGTCACTCGCGCTACTGCAGACAGTTGTGTTGAGCGTGACTCGAGTACAGGAGTGGCGACCTCTTTGGCTTTCGGTCGCCGCATTTGGTTGCTGTTGTTTTTTGAGTCTGCATCATTGGCTGACGATACCGGCTCCTGCTCGAGATGGCCAGACGGTTAACGTTGACCTTAGGTTCGAACAGTCGTTAGCTCCTCTTGTAGCATCCGACCTTGGACAGCCGCCTCCCCCATCTACCTTGATAGAGCAGGTTCTACAGTTCGTGTCAGAGCACTTTTTGTCTTTATTCTTGAGATTTGTGTATGTAATTATAGTTGCATTAGTAGTTCATTTGTTTGTTATGTCTAGGTGGTAGCATTAGTACTATTTGTTATGATATGGATTGATTTATTGTCTTGTAATTTCTTTTACAATATTTTTTGCATAGAAAGCTTTTTAGGTAAGTTTACATATATGTATATAATTAGTTTGTTGCCCTGCAATACCTAGGTTGTTAATTGAGTTTTTGTCTCAAATGCCAAATATAAACACACTTGAACCTTGATAATCAAATTTTATAAAAGACAAATGTAGCATACCATTGATAATAGAAGTCTACGTTATAGAATTATACTCCGTATGAAATAAAACAACGATACAATTTCTATAGTTTCATTAGTAACAAACATCTATGTTATTCAATTTAATACCCAAGAATTAATGATCACTCAAAAATTGTAACTTCTTAATTTTGTTCAACTTTGTAAAACAAATTTTATGGTATAATTAAAAATACAGAGTAACATATTTATAAGATAGTTTTTGAAAGTTACTATTATTTTATTTTATAAGATAGATTTTGAAGACTCTGAGTCGAAGACTCTGAGTCAGATGACACCCCACCTACTCCAAATTCTGATCCCTCACCTTCACCTGACACCAACTCTCCTTTTACACCTTACAATACACCTTCTCCTCCTCCTCCTCCTCCAACCAACTCACCAAATAATTCTCCCATTCCCTCCCCCCAGTAAGAAAATCCACTAGAGATCACAGTCTTCTTGTCTGGAGCAAAGATTACATTATGCTCAATAAACCAAGCTTCCACATTTCTAAACTTGCTTTCACCACTATTCAACCTGATTTCAATTGTTTTCCATCATTTCTGACCAAAGAAACCGATCCAATTCACTTTAAGGATGCAGTTAAGCACCATCACTGGGTTAAAGCCATGAATTATGAGCTGGAAGCTCTTGAGCTCAATGATACTTGGGACATCACCTGTTTACCTGCTGGTAAAAGTGTAATTGGGTGTAAATGGATGTATAAAACAAAATACAACCATGATGGTAGCATTGAAAGACACAAATCAAGGCTTGTCATTCTTGGATGTAAGCAACAGTATGGCATTAATTATTCTAAAACCTTTGCTCTAGTTGCAAAAATGACAATTGTGAGAACATTGTTAGCTGTTGCAGCCTTGGAAGGTTGGCATGCTGTACAAATGAATGCCACCAATGCTTTTCCTGCATGGTGATCTTTCTGAAGAGGTTTACATGAATTAGCCACAAGGTTACACAGGTCTTGGAAGCAAAATTCAGACTGTTGCAGACATCTCTCTTGTTCCTAAGGCTGACTCTTCTTTGGTATGCAAGCTTAAGAAATCATTGTATAGGCTCAAGCAGGCTCCAAGACAGTGGTTTCACAAGCTGTCCTGTACCCTGCTGCAAATGAGCTTCACTCAATCCAAATTAGATTACAACCTCTTCACTAAACTAATGAACAATTCTCTTACTCTCATCTTAGTTTATGTGGATGATCTTCCTATTTGTGGTGATAGTATGTCAGAAATCAATAATCTCAAATCTCTGCTATCTGTAGCTTTTCATATGAAGGATCTAGGTCCTGTTAGATATTTTTTTTGGTATTGAGATAGACAGATCAGATGCTGGATTTTTTCTTTACGTGAGCCTAGTGATCCTCTGTGATCCTAGTGATCCTCCGCCAGCTAGCAACGACAATCCCTCTTATTGGATAGCCCCACCCCCTAATAAGTTTAAGTTCAACACAGACGCGGCCATATCGAAAGAGGGGAAGGTAGGTTTGGGGATGGTTGTGTGCGATTATCTAGGGGGCGTGTTAATGTCTAGGGGTAAGTCCCTAGAGGGTCAAACTGACGATTGTTATGCAGAATCCCAAGCTATGTATTTTAGCATCAAATATGCATACGATGCTGGTCTTACAAGTTTGGTGGTTTCTTCAGATTGCCTTCAACTCGTCAATATGTTGTTGTCAAACAAGAAAGAGAGGACTGCTACCCAACTTGTAGTGGATGATATTCTGAGTATTGCTAGTATTTGTGTTTTTTGCTGTTTTACTTTTCAGTCAAGATCTTGTAATAAGGTTTGTAGCTACAGATTCTTTTACTCTAAGTGAGGAGTAGATGTGGATTGAGGACTGCTCATCTGTTTCGTTACCCTTTGTCACCTCCGACAAAGTGGCTATCTTGATATAATATTAATGCTTGCAGGTTTTGTCAAAAAAGGTTGTGAGCTACAACCTACTATATGTGTTTATACACATGCACAAATTCGAGCATGAAAACATAAGTAATTTAGGCTATAGTTATGCAATATACATGATCTGATCTCATTTGGCTGGGTTTGAATTGATTTGATATTTAATTGGACCATAATTTTTTGCCTAATTTTTTTGGTGCAAGAGATCTTTATAGATATTTATTAACATGCACTTTCCAAATATAAACTTTAAATACAAGTAATTTTCAAAGTAACAAAAATAAAGATGTTCAATGATAAACAAAAAGCAAATAAAATAAACCAATTTGAACTAGTTATTTATAAAATAAGCTAATATTAACTTAAATAAGTTAAATTTGAACTTATCCTAATTAGCATATTCATTATATGCTTACTAAATTTGGCATGTTAAAACACTAATAATTAATTCAACTCTAATTCGATCTTAGATACTTCAATCTTGTCTTAACTCTAGTACTCTACATACTCGTCTTACTCGATCCTAGCTACAATATACGAAGTACGATACGATGAAGATTTCTAACCATATCCACAGTTAAATTAGTGTATATTCTATTGTATATAGCTATAACAGAGAAAATATATCATATAACGACCTATAAAATGTACACGCAAATAAATACACTAACCTATAAAGTATACCGTATTCCGTATAAGTTTAATAATCTAGCATAGAATACGATACTCCCTCTGTCCCCAATTGTTTGTCCCAAATCATAAATCTACTCTATTAAGGCTTTGGGCAAAAATGATGCACATGGGTTGACACAAATATCAATGAGAAGAGAGATAGAGAGAGTGCAAGTGGAAAAACAAGCCAAAAATAATATGGAGCAATCTTTTGGGAACACCTTAAAAAGGAAAGTGGAGCAAACAATTAGGGATAGAGGGCGGTGACATTCGGCCCTCACTTAAAAACCAAACAATTGGTACGTGAAACTCACGCTCAAGTGTTGCGAGTAAGCAACATCTAACATTTAGATCCTAATTCTTAAATCACAAAATCATTTCACTGTCATTTTCCACCCAAAACGACACCGTTTTAACCCAAAACCCATTCTCACTCCTCACGCGCCAAATCTCTCCTCCTTTCTTCTTCCTCCCCCTCTTATCCTCCATTTATTTATTTAATTAATTAATTTATTATTTTGTGAAAATAAAAAAGCAAGTGGACTTCTCACTGTACCCAAAAGCTACTAACTTTGAGATAGAGAGAGAAAAAAAAAACAGAAGAGCACCAAACAATGCAAGACACAGCTGGCGGCGGAGGTGGCGGCGGAGGGGGTGGTGGTGGTGGTGGAGTTAACGAGTTGACTCGGGCAAGTGGGCTCGCTCGATTCCGTTCAGCACCAGCAACATGGTTAGATGCACTTCTTGAAGATGATGATTCGTTGAAACTTTCAGGCCCACATAATACCCACCAAGGTGGGCTAACCCAACTCCTAACCGCCGGAACTAATACTTCTTCTTCAGCTGCTGGGCCCGGCCCAATTCCGGTGTCTCGACCCAATACTTCCTACAACATCTCGCCGGCTGATCCGGGGTTCTTTGAGGGAGGTGGTGGAGGTGGGGCCCAACAGGCCGGGAATTCGGTGGCGTTTCAGAGGATGAATAGTTCTCCGGCGGAGTTCTTGAGTGCGAATATTGATGGGTATTTCTCGAGTTTTGGGATTCCGTCAAATTATGATTTTGGTGGTGGTGGAAGTGGAGGAGGAGGAGGATCTTCTGTTGATGTTTCTGGTTCTGGTAAAAGATTGAGGGAGAATGATTCAGAGCAACACTCCCCTAATTTCTCATCTCATAGGGTAACTTTTAATTTTTATTCTCTCTTCTTTTTGGCTTTTGTTAATGGATTCAAGTGGGATTTGTTTATGCAATGACTTTTATTAGGCATTGGATCAAGTGGGTATTTATTTTTATCTAGTTTTGTGGAATTTTATGAATTTATTTTTGTTTTTTTTTTTTGGGGAAATTTGACTTTGGATAGAGCTGTTTGTGGAAATTTAGAAAGTAAATTGGTTTGATTGGATACTGAATTTGTTGATAACTTGACTTTGGGAATTGTAGAGAGGGGAGCAAAGTGGGCAATTGAGTACAGCAAGTAGCTTGGTGGAGATGGAAATGGAGAAGCTGTTGGAGGATTCAGTACCTTGTAGGGTTCGGGCGAAGCGGGGTTGTGCTACCCATCCTCGTAGTATTGCTGAGAGGGTAAGACATTGATTTCTATCTTTTCAATTGGGTGATCTGCGAATATATAAAGCTCCATAGCAGTTGTATGAATGTTTGAATTTTATTTTTTTTGCTTATTTGATTGGTTTAGGTTCGAAGGACGAGGATTAGTGATCGTATAAGGAAGCTTCAAGAGCTTGTGCCCAACATGGATAAGGTAGGGTCTTTTTATCCATAGCAATAGTAATATGATTTGTTTGTTTTTGCTAAGATGATTTAGAAAATGCAAACGTTGTTCTTGTATGTTTGATTACCTTGTTTGTAGTCATTTATTTGTGTTTTAGTATCTAATCTCATCGTGGATCATAAGATTGTTGCTTTTTTGAGGTTATGTTGGGTAAAGAGGGATGTTGTAACTTGTAACCTGTTGATAATAGTTTCAAGGGTAATAAATTGTCAAAACGCTTTACAAATGAAGTTATTTGATCAATATAACATGTATATATCATGCTTTGACTATTGGTATTAGGTCATTGTCATGCTAGCTTGTGGTGTTCTTAAGTCCTTGTTTATCATAGTTTCATGAGACTGCTACATCCAACTATTTTTCTTTCTGTATGTGTACAAAAGAAATTAATGGATGATATCAAAAGAAAATTGCCAGCTGCTGATACATTGGAATTATTTTTAAAATTTTCTTATTGATCTGTGTTGTCCTATATTCTGTGCAACCCTTTCTTTAAAAATCATCAATCTTATTGTTCGTACTATTCACATTCAAGTTTAACGACAAATTCTATACATACTATGTATGAGTAACTTC